GAATCTTTTTTCAAGGTTCTTAGTTTCTTTGCATTGATTTAATACATGATCTTTTAGCTCACAAAAGTTTCTCATTATCCATCTTCTGAAGTCTAATTCCGTCATTTCGTCACAGTCATTCTCCGTCCAGCTTTGTTCCCTTGCTGGTGAGGAGTTTTGGTCCTTTCTAGGAGGCGATGTGTTCTGGTTTCGGGTGTTTTCCTCCTTTTTGCGCTGGTTTCTTCCCATCTTTGTGGATTTGTCCGCTGGTCGTCTGCGTAGTTGCTGACTTTTCGTTTGGGTCTCTGAGTGGACACCCAGAATGTTGATGATGAAGTATTTCTGTTGCTTGGTTTTCCTTCTACCAGTCTAGCCCCTTCGCTGTACGACTGTTGAGGTCCGCTCCAGACCCTGCTTGTCTGGGGTGCACCTCTAGTAGCCGTGGCACAGCGAGGGATGCTACCAGTTTCTTTTTCTGCTCTCTTTGTCCCAGGATGATGCCTGCCTAATGACAGTCTTTTGGATATAGAGGGGTCAGGGAGCTGCTTGAGGAGACAGTTTGTACTTTATAGGGGTTTAATTGCTGAGCTGTGCACTCTGTTGTTCATTCAGGGCTGTTAGGCTGCTATGTTTGATTCTGCTGCAACACAGCTCATTAAACAACCCTTTTTTTTTTTTCTCAAATGCTCTGTGTTGAGGGGTTTGGGCTTTATTTTTGGATGTCCGATCAGGTGTCCTGCCCAGCTCAAAGGCAGACTAGCCACTGTTTGGCTGCCGAGGCTCCGCCCTGCTGTTGTGTGATTCGCGCTGTTCCTGCTGGCTCTGCTGTGGTCTCCGCCACGCCCTGCGGCGGAATCTCTTCGTTGTAGCGTGTTGCCTCAGCAAAGGCAGGCTGCGTCAGCAGTGGGCGTGTATCTCAGTTGGGGCGGGTTGCCTCGGCAACGGCTGGCTGCCTCAGCAGTGGGCGTGTATATCAGTTGGGGCAGGTTGCCTCCGTAGTGGTGGACGCCCCTCCCCCACAGAGCGTCTCGGACCGTCTGCCCGGGATAGTTTGAAATCGCGGTTTTGTTCGTCCCACTGGGTATCCCAAACGATCTGTCCCTGCAATCCCCTGGGCTGGGCTACTGTGCAAGTCTCGTTCAGTCTCAAGTCCAGCCCTCTCAAGTCTCAGGTTGCCGGTTCAACAAGGCACCCGGACAAGCGCGCCCTGTGGGGATTGCTGAGTAGGGCCGGCCGCCGCCGCCCCGGCTGCCGGCTTCGCCAGGCAGACCTACTGCCTGGCGTCCCGTGTCTTTTTATACTTGGGAGTTTCCCCGTTCTGTGGGCAACAAAGATCAGTCTGGAAATGCAGCACTGACTCACCGTTTGCGAATTCAACGCGGGCTCCAATCCTGGGTTGTTCTCACAGCGCCATCTTGAGTCCCCTCCTACATTGTTTCTTTTAATCTAAAAGTATATGCACATGGTTAAACAAAAATTTCTGTAAGGCCTAATAATTAAAAATAAATGAGCCCTATCCTACCCCATTCTTCCTGGACACATTTTCTTTTTAAATATTAGTTATTTCTTGTTATTTACCTTTATATTTTTATTTTTATTATTATTTTGAGATGGAGTCTCAGTCTGTTGCCCAGGCTGGAGTGCAGTGGTACGATCCTGGCTCACTGCAACCTCCACCTCCCCACTTAAGCAATTATCCTGCCTCAGCCTCCTGAGTAGCTGGAATTGCAGGTGCACACCAGCACACCTGGCTAATTTTTGTATTTTTAGTAGAGGTGGGGTTTCACCATGTTGGTCAGGCTAGTCTCAAACTCCTGACCTTGTAATCCACCCACCTCAGCCTCCCAAAGTGCTGGGATTACAAGCCTGAGCCACTGAGCCTGGCTGATTACCTCCATATTATTAAAAAGTATACATAATGAAGCTATTTCTTGATTTATCAGTTTTAGATCATATTTATTTTCTACCACGATATATGAGTTTACACCTGTTCCTTGGTCCTTTATCCTCTCAGTATTGTTATAGCACTATCATGTTCTTCAGCTCTGGTACTTTTTTTGTTTGTTAATTTTATTCTGTTTTCTCTCTGGAATCCTTATTTTTCTTAAGAAATTGGCACTCCTGGATTGTTCTGTGTTCCTTTTTTTTTTCATGTTTTCCTTTTTATGAATGCTTTGTTTTTCTATCCTTTCTATGCTTTTTTTCATTTCAGCAAATCTTTGTTGTTTTCTTATTTTTGGATAATCCTTTTCTATGAAAATTAGATTCTCTACCATATTCTTTCATTTTAATGTGCATTAGAGTTTTGTGTAAAAGTTTTCTTCCATTGTGTGCATGATTTCTGTTTTTCTCTGGATTCATTTTATATGGGTGAGTACGTGTGTGTTCTTCCTGTTTTTGTCTGTTTCTCCTCTTGGAGGCTTTCTCAGTGTTTCTGGTTGTGCTCTGTAGTTCAGAATGAGTTACCAAACTGCAGGAATTCTATGCATAATTAGGCTTCTGACTGGAGACCTTCACTTCAGGGCAGTGTTTTTCAACCTTTTTTTGTTATCATTACCTGAAGAAGCATATTTAGATATTTTCCTCCTAATCTCTGCTCCTTCCAGTACCCCCCACCAATCCCATGAAGATTTAATACTACGAGATATACTCTGTGTCTGATTATATACTCTGAAAGATACAAATGTTAGAAAGAGTTTTGAAAAAGTCATTCTTCTGGGCCATTCAACTGCTGTATCTGCTCTCTCCTATCTGTAGTCATTTTCTGGGTAAGTGGAGAGGAGGTAGGGAGCTGCCATCCATTTATGGACTTTGAATTAGTCTCCCAGTTTTCAGTACTCTATCTTAACTCCCGTCACGACTTTGCCAAGAATTTGTGAGTCTTGAACCTCTTCTTGCTTTAGGGGGCCAAATTAGCTCCCCTTTGTCCATGTCTCCCTCTGTGATACTATAACCTTATAACTTCCTCTATTCTGCTACTTCGGTCACAATTCCACCCTATGTTTTGTCTTCCAGAATTTCATGAAATCCCTAATTTTAATTTTAAGTAATAGTTCCTTGCCAGTTTTTTTCATTCATTCATTCATTCATTCATTCATTCATTCATTCATTTATTTTTTAAATAATAGAGACAGGATCTTCCTATGTTCCCCAGGCTGGTTTCGAACTCTGGGCTTAAGCAATCATCCTGTCTCAGTTTCCGAGAGTGCTGGGATTACAGGTATGAGCCACCATGCCCAGCGAGATCCTCTCTAATTCTGTGTGTTGCACTGGTTTATCTGTTTACAATTGTTTAGGTGGTATTGAGTTGGGGCTTCAGAAACTGAAGAGAGGATAAACATTTGTCTTCAATTTTCCATCATATATGGACACCTGTAATAAGCTTTAAAAACAAACATTTCATATATCCCTAGTTTGTATTCTAGTCATATTTGCTCTATAAAATACCTTTCTGTTTATTTAAAACTTCTTAGCAATGATTGTATGCTCTATAAGGAGCTCATTAAAATGACATGTTTTTATTGCTTCTATCCATTGTAATATATCATATTTATATTGTTTCAGATTCAACAAAACTTTAGAGGCAAGATAATTCTTTTCCTTTTTTGGATCCTAAGTGTTAGACAATTATACTGAGGTTGGTATTAGAATTTGTGGAAATCTCAGAGAACTTTATAGAGTAGTATTGCACAATACAATCTCGGCTGTCAGCCACATGTGGCTATTTAACTTAATTGAAATAAATTTACTTCCTTAATCATACTGGTCACATGTCATGTGTTCAGTAACCACATATAGCTAGTGGCTACCATTTCACACAGTGAAGGTTTCCATCATTGCCAAGTTCTACTAGACAGTAGTGTTTTAAAAAGTAAAAAGTAGGACACCATCCTGTAGTGTCTGCAAGATTGACTAGTTTCTTAAGCCTTAGGCTTTTTCAGGAGTTTCTTAGTCTAGTGAGTGTATAGGGCTTTGTTGAACAGATAATGATGTAAAAAGAAAGTGATTAACATCTTGAAAGTATGCTTTGAAGCTTCAGGAGAGAGTACAATTCACAAGACTAGCTACTGTCGAAATTAGTCCAAAAGACAACCAAGAAGTCACTATACTAATTGTGTGATAATCTTTTCTTGTGTTGATTCAAGGAAACACACTGTAGAAGGTTGAGAGAGTCATAAAATATAGCATGAATGAATGGATAGTGCTCTCACTGTCCTTAAGAATGTTACTAGAGTCTTAGAATCGGCAACAAAACGATGCAGATAAACTATTGTTTGAGTGGGTAGATGGATAAGCTGTTACCTCATTTAGAATATTTTCCTTTTGTATATGAAATTGATTATTTGCAATATATTTAGGTACAGTATACCCCTTAGAAATATGGGGCCGGAAGGGGCCTTAGAAATTTTCATCATATCCTTTCATTTACAGATATGGGAAACAAATGCTTAAAGTGTAGGGAAATTATTTACTCTAGGGCACATAGTCACTGGTGGGGAGAGCCAACGCCAGAACCAGCATATTTTGAGAATATTTCTGGTGGTACTGTGTTGTTGACAAGGAAGGAAGGACTTGTTTCATTGTCTTTTCTCAAAAGCTTTAATAATCTAGGTGTGAGGCCCAAGCTGGCAACATAAAATTATATTAAGAGTGTGTAACTCTGGGGGCCGGTGTGTAACTCTGCAGTGGCTTGTCTTGTAATCCCACTGCTTTGGGAGGCCAAGGTGGGTGAGCCATGACATCAAGAGATTGAGACCATCCTGGCCAACATGGTGAAACCCCGTCTCTACTAAAAAAATGCAAAAATTAGCTGGATGTGGTGGTGCACACCTGTAGTCCCAGCTACTCAGGAGGCTGAGGCAGGAAAATCACTTGAACCCAGGAGGCAGAGGCTGTGAGCCAAGATCGTGCCACTGCACTTCAGCCTGGCAACAGAGCAAGACTCCGTCTCAAAAAAAAAAAAAAAAAGAGTATGTAACTCTGGGAACTGTAAATTTCATAATGTGTCTTCCTCTTTTTAGAACAACAATTTGTAATCTTTACACAATGCCACGAATTGGAGAACCTGTCTGGCTTACAATGATGTCGGGGACTCCAGAAAAGAACCACCTTTGCCATCGTTTCATGAAGGAGTTCACTTTTCTAATGGAAAATGCTTCTAAAAATCAGTATGAATTTATTTATTTGTTTATTATACTAGCTATCTAGATTGTAATCAAACTCAATTACAGATGTGGAAGAACCATCCATTATCTTTGGAATTATATTATTAATCAAGGTTAATCATCAGAATTCTAAAAGATAATTAAATGATAGGATATGGAAGAGCATCACAGAACCTTATGAATGAAAGCAGTGAAAATGTCTATAATTATGTAATTAAAATTCCTGACATATTATAGAATTCTCTGAGGCTTTTCATATTTTGTGAGTTGTATCCATTTATAGTTTTATTTAATAGAAAAGAGGTAGAAAACATGTAAGGAAATGCTGGGATTCTAATGATGCCTTTTTGATGTGGTGTTTTATCATATTGTTTTATTTTAACTGTTCGTCAAATCTTGGGAATCCAGATGAGTAATTCAGATGTTTTTTATTCTCTTTGATGGGAGACAGAGTTTGCTTAATACTTTGCTTCATTTTCCCATTCAGTGATTTAGAAATGTAGGAGCCTCCTAGTTGATTCAGTAATGAAAAAGAATCCATAATTTTTGAAGTAAAATGACATTTCTGTTTTGTACTATGAACTGCAATAGCTCTTATGAATGCTACCTTTATTTCAAGTAGTTTTTAACTCCTTCTCAACCAGAAACTATTAACTTTTATTTTAATCCTGCTGTTATATACTCATCCTTTCTCCTCTCCATTTTTTGGTGCCATTTGGCCACATGAGCATATACTCTCCTTGCTGACTTTGTCACTACATTTTACCTAAGGTTTCACAAAGGCAGATTGGAATCTGATCGGATGTATTTTGTTTTCAGATTCTTGCCAGCTCTCATTACTGCGGTTCTGACCAATCATCTTGCCTGGGTTCCAACAGTCATGCCAAATGGACAACCACCTATAAAAATATTTCTAGAAAAGCATTCCTCTCAGAGTGTGGACATGTTGGCAAAGACTCATCCATATAACCCACTTTGGGCTCAACTGGGTATGTAATCTGAAAACCGTTATACTGTGTATTAGACTTTTTTGTAGCTATCTGTAATTATTTTATAACAAACCCAAAAATAAATAAAATGTTCTATTTTACCTCCTGCATTCTAAAGCTTCTCTGCTTTGCTTGTCCTTTCATGCCTGCCAAATTGTCCTATCCTCATCTTAGACCTGAAATCATTCCTTATAAATAGAAAACTGCAGATATAGAGCAAGAGGAGCAGGCTGATAGCTGGTTTACTAATAACTTCAGATCTTCAGGGTGATTTGTGATTTTGTACTTTGTGTTAGGTACTTTGCAAGAAAGAATTTATCAACAAAGTCACCTGTGATACCTAAAGTCAGTCTGGTTAGGAGGGAAGCAGTTCACTGAGGTTTCTGTGGATCCACTTTTGTTCACTTGCTGAGTCATTTTGGAAAATGTTTCCCTTAGTGTTAGGTACCACTAAACAGGTGGGGAACAGAGGGGAGAGGTAATGGTTGATAAGTTCATAGGCAATAGGAAGGCAGTATAACAGGGTGCTAAAGACACAGGCTGTGGAGTAAGGCACACCACATTTGAATCACAGTTTCCTTATTTATAAAGTAAGAATAATAATGCATGATACATATGTTAAAAGTTGTAAAAATTAAATGAGGTAATACATGTAAAATGATTAGGACAGTATCTGGTAAACATAGCTACTAATTACTTCTGCTCTTACTCTATTTGCTGTTAGATGATGAGGGAAGAGTAAGATAAGAACATTTTAGTGACTATGTAGTAACTTTCCTTAGGTTGCTTTGGTGATTGAGCTTGCCAGCTGGATTATCATACAACTTATCAATTCATATAACCAATCTCCATCCCTATTGGCTTTCTCCCTTGCTCTTACTCCGCTCCCTTCCATTTTATTGAGTTACAATTGACATACAGTAAATGCATTTTTTAAATGGGGTCTCATTTTTCCCCCAGGCTGGAGTGTAGTGGCACGATCATGGCTGACTATCTCCTGGGGATCAGATGATTCCCCTACCTTAGTCACCCAAGTACCTGGGACTACAAGCGTGTACTGCCGCACCAAGCTAGTTTTTGTATTTTTTGCCATGTTACCTAGACTGGTCTCAAATTCTTAGACTTAAATGATTTGCTCACCTTGGCCTCCCAAAGTGTTGGGATTACAGGCATGAGCCACAACACCTGGCTCAACGTATATTCAAAGTACATAATTTGGGCCGGGTGCGGTGGCTCATGCCTGTAATCCTAGTACTTTGGGAGGCCAAGGCGGGTGGATCACTTAAGATCAGGAGTTCGAAACCAGCCTGGCCAACATGGTGAAACCCTGCCTCTAGTAAAAATACAAAGCAATTAGCCGAGCATGTTGGTGGGCACCTGTAATCCCAGCTACTCAGGACCTGAGGCAGGAAAATCACTTGAACCCAGAGGCAGAGGTTGCAGTGAGCCGAGATCTTGACACTGCACTACAGCCTGGGTGACAGAGCAAGAATGTGTCTTAAAATAAATAAATAATATAAAATACACAATTTGATAAGTTTTGGCGTGTGTGTGTGTGTGTGTGTGTGTGTGCGCGCGCGCGCCTCTAAAACCATCACCACAATCAAAATGGTAATCATATTGCATCACTTCCAAAAGTTTCCTTATACCTTTTTTGTAATCTCTTCCTCCTCCACCTTCTCCCTCTCCCTAACTTCCCTGTTACTCTTCCGCCATCCCTAGGCAGCCACTGGCCTACTTTCTGTCATGGTAGATTTGTTGCATTTTCTAGAGTTGTATACAAATGGAATCATACAGTATATACTTTGACTTCTTTCATTCAATATAATTCAAATTCACCTATTTTGTATGTATTAATAGATCGTTCCTTTTTAATGCTGAGTAGTATTCCATTGCATGTACCTATTTATTTATTTAGAGATGGAGTTTTGCTCTTGTTGCCCAGCGTGGAGTGTGATGGCACGATCTCGGCTCGTTGCAACCTTCACCTCCCTGTTTTGAGCAATTTTCCTGCCTCGGCCTCTCGAATAGCTGGGATTATAGGCATGCACCACCACACCTGGCTACTTTTTGTATTTTTAGGAGAGATGGGGTTTCTCCGTGTTGGTCAGACTGGTCTCAAACTCCTGACTTCAAATGATCCACCTGCCTCAACCTCCCAAAATGCTCAGATTACAGGCATGAGCTATCGCACTTGGCCTGCATGGACCTTTTTAAAATCAGATTATTAGTAGTATTTTTAAAATTGGGACATTTAAGTCCTTTTTAAATTCTCCAATCATTTGTTGACTGCCTAAGGCTCTGTGCAAAAAGCACAGAGTATATAAAGATGAATAATTTGGAAATTATCCTCAAGAAGTCAACGGTCTGAGACTGTAGGTAATTTATATGCAAACAACAATGATAATTCAAGGGATAACTATAAGAGAAATGAAAAGTTTAGTGGGAGTGCAATAGGGGAGCCTACTTTTGCCTAAGTGAGGATGCTTAGGTGGGAAGCTATGGACTGGCAGAGATACTAAGGAAAGGGACAGGACATCACATGAGTAAAAAGTTGAGGTGATAAAAGTGCAGAGTATATTCAGTGGTCCAGTTTAGTGCTTTGCGTGAATAAAGATTATTTCTTTTTCTGACTGCCAAAAAGGAGGATGAGTATAAGAAGATAGAGCTGGAAAAGTAAACTGGAAATCATGAAAGACTTACTTGCCGTGCCAAAGCAATTTCAACTTACTTGGTAATTCGTGGGAATTGTGGGAGTAGTTTAGAAAAGTGGCATGGTGATATTTAAGCCAAGTGTTAGAGGAGAAAATTTATCATGATGGTATTTATAGCATATATTTGTTTGAGACCTATTTATATTTGTTCCTTTAAAAAGTGCGAGGGTTTTGTAAAGTAAAAATAGAGGTTTTTAAATGTGTATACTGAAAATTTGCAAAAATTGAATTTAAGTTGAATTAATGGCTTTGTAGTCTCCTTTTTTTTTTTTTTTTTTTTTTTTTCTTTCCTAAGACAGGGTCTCACTCTATCGCCCAGGCTGGAGTGCAGTGGTGCAATCATGGCTCACTGCAGCCTCAACTTCCTGGGCTCAAGTGATTCTTCCACCTCGGCCTTTCAGGTATCTGGAATTTCATGCATGCACCACCATGCCCAGCTACTTCTTTGTATTTTTTTGTAGAGATAGGGTTTTGCCATATTGCCCAGGCTGGTCTTGAACTCCTGGGCTCAAATGATCAGCCCACTTCCACCCCCCAAAATGCTGGGATCACATGCTTGAGCCACCATGCCCAGCCCTATTCTCCATTATTTTGGCACTGAAATTACTGGTTTAATTTGAACGATAGCATAAATACAGAAGTGATATTGATAATTTCTAGTCCTGCCCCCCTCACCTCCCCTGTTTTTAACATAGTGGCTGGTCATATTTAGAATGGATTCAAAAGTGAAAATGAACTGCATGGCTAAAGTTGTTGCCCTTTCTTTTCCTTTTAGTAAATATGAGTCTCTCTCTTCCTGTCCTTTCTGGCCTATCCTGAGTACCCAACCCTTTAGGGAATGGAAGGGTAAAATAGGCTTATGCAAACATGGGAGCTGGTGGGGTGGGGTGCTGGCTAAGGGAATAACAGTTAAAGTGTAGAGATATGATATTAAAAAAAAATTTTTTTTTGAGATGGAGTCTCGCTGTTGTCACCCAGGCTAGAGTATTGGTGCAGTATTGGCTCACTGCACCCTCTGCCTCCCAGGTTTAAGCAGTTCTCCTGCCTCAGTTTCCCAAGTAGTTGTGACTACAGGCACCAGCCACTACGCTTGGCTGATTTTTGTATTTTTGGTAGAGACAGGATTTTACCATGTTGGCCAGGCTGGTCTTGAACTCCTGACCTCAAGTGATCCACCCCTCTCAGCCTCTCAAAATGCTGGGTTTACAGACATGCAATCCGTGCCCAGCCCCAGAGATATGATTTAAATCAGGAATGATTAGGTGTGTGGTGTGACTACTCTAGCTTTGCTCCATTTTACTGCTACTCCTTTCTTCTCCTTACAAGCCAGCAGATACTGTGCTTTGTCTTTTCTTGAATGGACACAGCTACAGAATCCTTGTGTACATAGTACTTCAGGCAGTACTTCTCTAACCAGGTAGAAATGCTCTGCACAGAGCCTGGCTTAGAGAATATTCTTGGGATATGTGAGTTTCAGAACTATTTGCTTAAGATTTCTGAACCATAGCCTTTGTTTAAGGAGGAAACCAGAAAACCCTTAAATTCATCTTTCTCTCTGGTTAAGATTATTCATCTCATCTTCCCCACCTTGAATAGTCACTCATCTGTTAAAGAACTAAGAGTAAAGGCAGGCATGGTGGCTCATGCCTGTAATTCTAGCACTTTGGGAGGCCAAGGCCAGAGGATCGCTTGAGCCCAGGAGCTCAAAACCAGCCTGGAAAACATGGCAAAACTTTGTCTCTACCAAAAAGATACGGAAAAGTAGCCAGGTATGGTGGCATGCACCTATAGTCCCAGCTACTCAGGAGGCTGAGGTAGGATCACCTGAGCCTAGGAGGGCGAGGCTGCAGTGAGCCATGATTGTACCATTGCACTGCAGCTAGGATGACAGCATGAGACCCTGTTTGCAAAAAGAAAAGAGTAAGAGTGAAACCTAAACTACAATTCATATAGTAAGAGTAGGTTTCTGATCATTAAAAACAGCCTACTTAGCTGGGTCAGTAAAGGATGTGCTTAATAACTGAGTTTTTTTTATTACAGGAGACTTGTACGGTGCTATCGGCTCTCCTGTACGGTTAGCAAGGACTGTGGTGGTTGGCAAACGACAAGATATGGTCCAGAGGCTACTTTATTTTCTTACTTATTTTATAAGATGCTCTGAACTTCAAGAAACACATCTTTTAGAAAATGGAGAAGATGAAGCCATCGTTATGCCAGGCACAGTTATTACTACCACTTTAGAGAAAGGTGAAATAGAAGAATCAGAGTATGTCCTTGTCACAATGCATAGAAACAAAAGCAGTTTGCTCTTTAAAGAGTCGGAAGTAAGAACTTCTAATTGTAACTGTAAATATTGCAGTCGTCCACTCCTTGGGCAAAATGTAGAGAACATTTCTCAACAAGAGAGAGAAGATATTCAAAACAGCTCTAAGGAGCTTTTAGGAATTTCAGATGAGTGCCGGGTGATTTCTCCTTCTGACTGCCAAGAAGAAAATGCTGTTGATGTTAAACAGTACAGAGATAAATTAAGAACTTGCCTTGACACCAAGTTAGAGACAGTTGTTTGCACAGGATCTGTTCCAGTAGACAAATGTTCATTGTCAGAGTCAGGCTTAGAGCCAACAGAGGAAACATGGCAGAGTGAGAAGTTGCTGGATTCAGATAGTCACACAAGCAAAGCAATGAGATCCACAGGAATGGTTGTGGAAAAGAAACCTCCAGATAAGATTGTGTCTGCTTCATTTTCTTGTGAGGCTGCCCACACAAAGGTTACTTTCCTGATTGGGGATTCTATGTCACCTGATTCAGATACTGAGCTTCGAAGTCAGGCAGTGGTGGATCAGATTACCAGGCATCACACCAAACCACTGAAGAAAGAAAGAGGGGCTATTGATCAGCATCAAGAAACTAAACAGACAACTAAGGACCAATCTGGAGAGTCTGATATACAGAACATGGTTTCTGAAGAGCCCTGCGAACTTCCCTGTTGGAATCATTCAGACCCAGAAAGCATGAGCTTATTTGATGAATATTTTAATGATGATTCAATTGAAACCAGGACTATTGATGATGTTCCAATTAAAACAAGTACAGATAGTAAAGACCATTGCTGTATGTTAGAGTTTTCAAAAATATTGTGTACAAAAAATAACAAACAAAACAATGAATTTTGTAAATGTATACAAGCAGTTCCCCAAGATTCATGTAAAACCTGCTTTCCTCAGCAGGACCAAAGAGATACACTCTCCATTCTTGTCCCCCATGGGGATAAAGAGAGTTCAGACAAAAAAATTGCCATAGGAACTGAATGGGACATTCCAAGAAATGAAAGTTCAGATAGTGCCCTTGGGGATAGTGAAAGTGAAGATACAGGTCATGATATGACTAGGCAAGTTAGCAGTTATTATGGAGGAGAGCAAGAAGACTGGGCAGAAGAGGATGAAATACCATTTCCTGGGTACGTAGGAAGTTTTCACCTATAATGGGCCCTATATAAATATGTACCATACTTTTGTTTAGCTGTTCTCTGAAGGTTGGTATAAAAGAAGAGATCATTGTCCTAGATAGATTTCTCTTATTTTCATATTCTCTTAACTCATAAAAAAGATTAAAGCCTGAGTTCCAGAAACACCTCAGAAAGGTTTTATGAAGACCTCAGAGAAAAGTTAAAGGATCTGGTTATGATTTCTTACTGCTTAGAAGGTTTCAAGCCATTTAGGAGTGAATTATGCCCCCCAAAAGGACATATGCTGAGCCTGGCAGAGAGCACTAATCCTTGAGATGTTAGATGGCTGTTTGAAATATGTTTGGCCAAAACTAAGAAGAAAACAGAATGTATATTTTCAGTTAAGTATGTAAAAAGATTCATGCTTGAGAAATGTTACATACCCACCTTTGGACTTGTGAAGCATTTAATTACTTTGTTTTAGATGATTGTATTAAGAATGTGTTACAAACTTAGGGGACAGCTCTCTTAAAGTCTGTTACAAAAGATTAATTCTCACTTCATTACTGAGTTGTTCCTCAGACCTTCTCATCTTGATAAGAAGTGTTTTGTTTTCTGATAGAGCACTTGAGCAAGTTTTTAAATAAGGATGATTATACTCTTGATTTTACTATTATTACCAGTTTACTCTTGAATTTTACCATTACCATTATATAAGGATGATTTTACTCTTTCTATTAATACAGACTAGTATAAAATGTGGACTAGTAGAGTTCACAATTCTTTTTTTAACTGGTTAAAAAAGTTTATTATTAATTAGATGTCTTTGGGGGGTACTTTTCTTCCAGGTCAAAGTTAATTGAAGTGAGTGCTGTTCAGCCCAACATTGCCAATTTTGGGAGGTCCTTGCTGGGTGGCTACTGCTCATCTTATGTGCCTGACTTTGTTCTTCAAGGAATTGGGAGTGATGAGAGGTTCCGTCAGTGTCTGATGTCAGATTTGTCTCATGCTGTGCAGGTAAGTGACCTTCACTGGTCTTGAGTTTATTTAGAACAAACTATGTTAAGCAGCAGAACCCAAAATTGCCTTATATTTTTGGTCATACTTTTACAACACAATCCTTATTCTCTGATTTCATTACTTTATATTCAGTGTCTGTTATCTTACTGTCACTGTGAGAGCAAATAAAGTTTCAGAAATTTATCCACATGGATATCAGAAATACAGAAAGTACTTTATGTATTCATGGATGTTCATCAGCTAGGTTATTTACAGTATCAGAAATTTATAGGTGCTTAAGTTTGAATGGAATTATTTTCTTAATTTCCCTTTCAGATTGTTCATTGCTTACATATAGAAGTGGGGTTGGCTTTTGCGTATTGATCCTATATCCTGTGGCCTTTCTGAACTCATATTAGTCTATTCAGTTTTTCTGTATAGATTCCCTAAGGTTTCCTACATACAGGCTCATGTTATCAGTGAACAGATAGTTTTAAATCTTTCTTAACAATCTGGATGCTTTTGTCCCTCCTGCCCCCAACTTTTTTTTTTTTTTTTTTTTTTGATTCATTGTACTGGCTAGAACTTTAAATAGAATGTTGCATGGAAATGGTGACCATGGACATCATTGCCTTATTCATGATCTTAGGAGAAGACGTTGCATCTTTCATGATTAAGTGTGATGTTAGCTGTAAGGTTCTTGTAATGCCCTTTATTAGATGGATAAACCCTATTTATTTACTTAATTATTTTTGAGATGGTGTTTCACTCTTGTTATGCAGGCTGGCGTGCAATGGCGCAATCTCAGCTCACTGCAACCTCTGCCTCCTGGGTTCAAGTGATTCTTCTGCCTCAGCCTCCCGAGTAGCTGGGATTACAGGCATGCACCATGTGCCACCACACCCGGCTAATTTTGTATTATTTTGTATTTTTAGTAGAGACAGAGTTTCTCCATGTTGGTCAGGCTGGTCTTAAACTTCCGATCTCAGATAATCCTTCTGCTTTGGCCTTCCAAAGTGCTGGGATTACAGGTGTAAGCCCCTGTGCCCAGCCCCCTTTTTATTTTTATTATTTTTTTAACCCAATGCTTCTTTTAGAGACAGGCAGTTCCCTTTTATTCCTAGCTTTTAGCCCAGGGTGGGAATAAAGGGGTTCCATCCTTTATTCATGAGTGAATGTGGGCTTTTGGTCATATACTTTTTCTGAATGTCTAATGAGATGATATTGTCATATGGTTTTTCATCTTCAAATTATTAATGTCATGGATTTCATTGATTAATTTTTTAGACATGAAGCCAATCATTATATTCCTGGGAAGGAATCCCACTCTGTCATGCTATATAATTTTTTTTAATATGGATTTGATTTACTAATATTTTGTTGTGGATATTAGAGTCTATATTCGTGAGAAATGTTGCTCTTTAGTTTTCTTATGATGTCTTTGTCTAGCTTTGATATCAGGGTAACACTGGCCTTAGAGAGTGAGTTGGGAAGTATGTCCATCTCTATTTTCTGGAAGAGTTTCTAGAAGATCAGCACTATTTTTATTCTCTGAATGTTTGGTAGAATTCACTAGTAAAAACATCTGTATCCAGGCTTTTAAAAATAAGAATATTTTAAATTGCTGATGTAATTTCTTCACCTTTTATACATTTAGATTTTCTAGTTCTTCCTGAGTCAATTTTGGTAATTTTTGTCTTTTAGAAATTTACTAGTTTCATTTAAGTGGTCTAATTTATTGAAATAAAGTAGTTTATAGTATAAACTTATAATCCTTTTAATTTCTATAAGGTCGCTAGTAATGTCCCGTCTTCTATTTCTGAATTTCATAATTGTGTGTGTGTGTGTGTGTGTGTGCGTGTGTTTTTCGAAAGGTGAGGGCTTCTCCAAAAAAGAGGTTCATTTGTTGTTTAACTTAAATTGTATATATTTTTTTGCCAATATGCATCAAGGATTAACAAGCTATGGACAGTGGACCAAAGAGTCCTGATTTTTATAGATAAACTTTTATTAGAACACAACCACAGTGATTCATTTATATACTGTCTGGATATGTTCATGTCTAACAGCAGAGTTGAGTCATTGAGACAGAGACCTTTCAGCCCCCAGACCATAAAATATTTTCTGTTGGTTTTTTTGCTTCTTCTTCTTTTTCTTGAGACAGAGTCTCATTCTGTCACCCAGGCTGGAATGCAGTGGCATGATCTCAGCTCACTGCACCCTCCGCCTCCCGGGCTCAAACGATTCTCCTGCCTCAAATGATTCTCCTGCCTCGACCCCCAAGTAGTTGGGATTATATGCGCGTGTCACCATGCCTGATTGATTTTTGGTATTTTTAGTAGATATGGGGTTTCACTGTGTTAGCCAGCATGGTCTCCTGACTTCATGATCTGCCCTCCTTGGCCTCCCAAAGTGCTGGGATTACAGGCATGAGCCACCACACCTGCCCCCTTTGTTTTTTCTTCTTGAGAGAGAGTCTTGCCCTGTCACCCAGGCTGGATGGAGTACAGTGGCTCAAGCTAGGCTCACTTTAACTTCTGCCTCCCAGGTTTAAGCAATTCTCCTGCCTCTGCCTCCACCTCCTGAACAGCTGGGATTACAGGCACCCACCACCACACCTGGCTAATTTTAGTATTTTCAGTAGAGATGGGGTTTCACCATATTGGCCAGGCTGGTCTTGAATGCCTGACCTCGGATGATCCACCACCTTGGGCTTCCAAAGTGCTGAGATTACAGGCATGAGACTCTGCCTAGCCGAATCTGACAAATTTTGATCTGTTGTGTTTTCAGTTTCATTCATTTCAAAATGTTATTAAATTTTACTTGTAATTTCTTTGACTTACGAGTTATTTGGAAGTGTGCTATTTGATTTGCAAATATGTATGGAATTCTTAAAAATTGTTTTGTTGTTGGTTTCTAATTTAATTCTATTATGGTTGGAAAACATACATTGTTCACCCCTTTTAAATTATTGAGACTTGTTTTATGGCACTTGAAAAAAATATATATTCTGCTCTTGTTGAGATGTATTGTAACTATCAGGTCAAGTTAGATAACCATTATACAATAGCCTTATATAAGTATTTTATGTCCTTGCTGATTTTTGGTTTGGTTCTGCCATCAATTACTGAGAGTGAAATAGTGAATTCTCCAACTATTATTTTGTTGGATTTTCTGTTTCTCCCCTCAGTTGTACGTATCAGTTTAATGTTTTGCTTTAATAACAAAATCTGGCCACCTCTAAATTTAAAAAGTTAAAAAAGAAATGGAGAAGCCAGACATGGTGACTCAGGCCTATAATCCCAGCACTTTGGGAGGCTGAGGTGGGTAGGTTACTTGAAGTCAAGAGTTTGTGAGCAGCCTGGCCAACATGGTGAAACCCCACCCCTACAGAAATACAAAAATTATCTGGGCATGGTGGCGTGTGTCTGTAATCCCAGCTGCTGGGGAGGTTGAGGCATGAGAATTGCTTGAATCTGGGAGGTAGAGGTTGCAGTGAGCCGAGATCATGCCACTGCACTCCAGCATGGGCAACAGAACAAGACTCCCATCTCAACAAAAAAAAAAAGAAAGAAAAGAAAAGCAATGAAGAAAGCCAATTGGGAAATTATGGATGAGAAAATGTGGCTCAGTGAGCAACAGTCAGTCAGTTGTTAGTCCATAAGGTTTAACCTGTGTCTATAGAAAGCTAAGTTGTGAAGTTTGGCGTTTTATTAGATAGAAGAGGAATTATGACAAATCTAGACATAAAGTTTGTGAAGAAAACTTATCAGAACTTATGATCTTCATATTTAAAGGCTAGTTTGCTCAGTTTTTGAATACCAATCAGATCAATATTTCTTGACCTACTGTGTTCTGAATATAGCGCCAGTACTACAAGGGATATATGTCTGAAAAAAGAAAAAGTTTCTGACTTCAAGTTTTTTACTTAGCAACAGAGAAAATAGGCCAAGTGTATAACTAAATGTAGTACAACACATAACAAAAGTAATGCCTGAGAAAGGTACTTGAATGTATTATTGCTTCAAAGGACAGAATTTTTATTATTTGTTGGTATGGATGCCCTTCAGGGTAAAGGAACCGTTTCTAGTTTTTCCAATGCTTCCCTCCCAGTGCCTAATGTAGTGCCTACTATTTGTTGAATTACTTGGTTAAGGAATTGTACATGAGTTCTTCTATTGCACTCTGTGTGCACTTGTCTTTATGTCTTATCCTAGTTAGTTAGTCTCTTTTCTTCTTTCATCTGTACCTGTCACCAAACATAGTGTCTTTTGAATTTTACTCTGTGAAAGCTTGGCGTTGGAAAGGCTTGCTGCCTCCTACTGAAGATAAAGATAACATTTTGATTTTAAGGGTTTCTACCTGCTAATTATTATAGGATGAATAATAATAATAATAGCATTTAGTATTTATTGTTGCCTTACTGTGTCCCAGGCACTTAAATGTACTATTTCACTTAATCTTATAATAATCCTTTGAGGTACTTATTATTGTTATCTCTGTGTTTCAGATATGACTCAGAGAAGTTTGTAAGTTACATAGATAGTGAAAGGCAAAAACTAGAATTCAGTTCTTATCTGCCTGTTCTTAAGCTATGTTCTTAAGCTATTATGCCATACGGTTACTAAAACAGATGAACAAAGAGTAATACAAATAGCAAAATCACCATTACAAAGTTTATAAGACTTTTTTTTTTCTTTTTATTGCATTTTAGGTTTTGGGGTACATGTGCAGAGCATGCAATACAGTTGCATAGGTACACACAGGGCAGTGTGTTTTGTTTGCTTTCTCCCCTTCACCCACATTTGGTATTTCTCCCCTGGCAATCCCTCTCTACCTCCCCCTCCCACTGGCCCTCCCCTTTTCCCCCTATAGACCCCAGTGTTTAGTACTCCCCTCTCTGTGTCCATGTGTTCTCATTTTTCCTCACCCGCCTATGAGTGAGAATATGCGGTGTTTCATTTTCTGTTCTTGTGTCAGTTTGCTGAGGATGATGTTCTCCAGATTCATCCATGTCC